TTGCTGTGGTGTTTTTGGACCTGCTTCAGTGTTTTTGGATTTACTGTGGTGTGTTTGGAACTGCTTCAGTGTTTTTTAGATTTACTGTGGTGTTTTTTGGACATGCTTCAGTGTTTTTAGATTTACTGTGGTGTTTTTAGACCTGCTTCAGTGTTTTTAGATTTACTGTGGTGTGCTTGGACCTGCTTCAGTGTTTTTAGATTTGCTGTGGTGTTTTCAGACCTGCTTCAGTGTTTTTGGATTTACTGTGGTGTGTTTGGAACTGCTTCAGTGTTTTTAGATTTACTGTGGTGTTTTTGGACATGCTTCAGTGTTTTTAGATTTACTGTGGTGTTTTTAGACCTGCTTCAGTGTTTTTATATTTACTGTCGTGTTTTTAGACCTGCTTCAGTGTTTTTGGATTCACTGTGGTGTTTTTAGACCTGCTTCAGTGTTTTTAGATTTCCTGTGGTGTTTTTGGACCTGCTTCAGTGTTTTCATATTTACTGTGGTGTTTTTAGACCTGCTTCAGTGTTTTTAGATTTGCTGTGGTGTTTTTGGACCTGCTTCAGTGTTTTTATATTTACTGTCGTGTTTTTAGACCTGCTGCAGTGTTTTTTAGATTTCGTGTGGTGTTTTTGGATTTGCTGTAGTGCTTTTAGACCTGCTTCAGTGTTTTTAGATTTGCTGTGGTGTTCTTAGACCTGCTTCAGTGTTTTTGGATTTACTGTGGTGTTTTTGGAACTGCTTCAGTGTTTTTATATTTACTGTGGTGTTTTTTAGACCTACTTCAGTGTTTTTGGATTTGCTGTGGTGTTTTTGGACCTGCTTCAGTGTTTTTGGATTTACTGTGGTGTTTTTGGATTTGCTGTGGTGTTTTTGGATTTGCTGTAGTGTTTTTAGACCTGCTTCAGTGTTTTTGGATTTACTTTGGTGTTTTTAGACATGCTTCAGTGTTTTTAGATTTGCTGTGGTGTTTTTAGACCTGCTTCAGTGTTTTTAGATTTGCTGTGGTGTTTTTGGACCTGCTTCAGTGTTTTTAGATTTGCTGTGGTGTTTTTGGATTTACTGTGGTGTTTTTAGATCTGCTTCAGTGTTTTTATATTTACTGTGGTGTTTGTAGACCTGCTTCAGTGTTTTTAGATTTCCTCTGGTGTTTTTAGACCTGCTTCAGTGTTTTTAGATTTGCTGTGGTGTTTTTAGACCTGCTTCAGTGTTTTCAGATTTGCTGTGGTGTTTTTGGACCTGCTTCAGTGTTTTTAGATTTACTGTGGTGTTTTTAGACCTGCTTCAATGTTTTTAGATTTGTTGTAGTGTTTTTAGACCCGCTTCAGTGTTTTTAGATTTACTGTGGTGTTTTTGGACCTGCTTCAGTGTTTTTGAATTTGCTGTGGTGTTTTTAGACCTGCTTCAGTGTTTTTAGATTTGCTGTGGTGTTTTCAGACCCGCTTCAGTGTTTTTAGATTTACTGTAGTGTTTTTAGACCCGCTTCAGTGTTTTTTGGATTTGCTGTGGTGTTTTTAGACCTGCTTCAGTGTTTTTAGATTTACTGTGGTGTTTTTGGACCTGACTCAGTGTTTTTAGATTTACTCTGGTGTTTTTAGACCTGCTTCAGTGTTTTTAGATTTGCTGTGGTGTTTTTAGACCTGCTTCAGTGTTTTTATATTTACTGTGGTGTCTTTAGACCTGCTTCAGTGTTTTTAGATTTACTGTGGTGTTTTTGGACCTGCTTCAGTGTTTTTATATTTACTGTGGTGTTTTTAGACCTGCTGCAGTGTTTTTGGACTTGCTGTGGTGTTTTTGGACCTGCTTCAGTGTTTTTGGATTTGCTGTGTTGTTTTTGGACCTGCTTCAGTGTTTTTAGATTTGCTGTGGTGTTTTAGGACCTGCTTCAATGTTTTTAGATTTGCTGTGGTGTTTTTGGACCTCCTTCAGTGTTTTTAGATTTGCTGTGGTGTTTTTGGACCTGCTTCAGTGTTTTTGGATTTACTGTGGTGTGTTTGGAACTGCTTCAGTGTTTTTAGATTTACTGTGGTGTTTTTGGACCTGCTTCAGTGTTTTTAGATTTACTGTGGTGTTTTTAGACCTGCTTCAGTGTTTTTAGATTTACTGTGGTGTGCTTGGACCTGCTTCAGTGTTTTAGATTTGCTGTGGTGTTTTCAGACCTGCTTCAGTGTTTTTGGATTTACTGTGGTGTGTTTGGAACTGCTTCAGTGTTTTTAGATTTACTGTGGTGTTTTTGGACATGCTTCAGTGTTTTTAGATTTACTGTGGTGTTTTTGGACATGCTTCAGTGTTTTTAGATTTACTGTGGTGTTTTTAGACCTGCTTCAGTGTTTTTAGATTTACTGTGGTGTGCTTGGACCTGCCTCGGTGTTTTTAGATTTACTGTGGTGTTTTGGACCTGCTTCAGTGTCTTTAGATTTACTGTGGTGTTTTTAGACCTGCTTCAGTGTTTTTGAATTTGCTGTGGTGTTTTTAGACCTGCTTCAGTGTTTTTAGATTTGCTGTGGTGTTTTCAGACCCGCTTCAGTGTTTTTAGATTTACTGTAGTGTTTTTAGACCCGCTTCAGTGTTTTTTGGATTTACTGTGGTGTTTTTGGACCTGACTCAGTGTTTTTAGATTTACTCTGGTGTTTTTAGACCTGCTTCAGTGTTTTTAGATTTACTGTGGTGTTTTTAGACCTGCTTCAGTGTTTTTATATTTACTGTGGTGTTTTTAGACCTGTTTCAGTGTTTTTAGATTTACTGTGGTGTTTTTAGACCCGCTTCAGTGTTTTTAGATTTGCTGTGGTGTTTTCAGACCCGCTTCAGTGTTTTTAGATTTGCTGTGGTGTTTTTAGACCTGCTTCAGTGTTTTTAGATTTCCTGTGGTGTTTTTAGACCTGCTTCAGTGTTTTTGGATTTACTGTGGTGTTTTTGGACCTGCTTCAGTGTTTTTGGATTTGCTGTGGTGTTTTTGGATTTGCTGTAGTGTTTTTAGACCTGCTTCAGTGTTTTTAGATTTGCTGTGGTGTTTTTGGATTTACTGTGGTGTTTTTGGATTTGCTGTAGTGTTTTTAGATCTGCTTCAGTGTTTTTATATTTGCTGTGGTGTTTTTAGACCTGCTTCAGTGTTTTTAGATTTGCTCTGGTGTTTTTAGACCTGCTTCAGTGTTTTTAGATTTGCTGTGGTGTTTTTAGACCTGCTTCAGTGTTTTCAGATTTGCTGTGGTGTTTTTGGACCTGCTTCAGTGTTTTTAGATTTACTGTGGTGTTTTTAGACCCGCTTCAATGTTGTTAGATTTGCTGTGGTGTTTTTAGACCCGCTTCAGTGTTTTTAGATTTACTGTGGTGTTTTTGGACCTGCTGCAGTGTTTTTGAATTTGCTGTGGTGTTTTTAGACCCGCTTCAGTGTTTTTAGATTTGCTGTGGTGTTTTCAGACCCGCTTCAGTGTTTTTAGATTTACTGTAGTGTTTTTAGACCCGCTTCAGTGTTTTTTGGATTTGCTGTGGTGTTTTTAGACCTGCTTCAGTGTTTTTAGATTTACTGTGGTGTTTTTGGACCTGACTCAGTGTTTTTAGATTTACTCTGGTGTTTTTAGACCTGCTTCAGTGTTTTTAGATTTACTGTGGTGTTTTTAGACCTGCTTCAGTGTTTTTAGATTTACTGTGGTGTTTTTGGACCTGCTTCAGTGTTTTTAGATTTACTCTGGTGTTTGTAGACCTGCTTCAGTGTTTTTAGATTTACTGTGGTGTTTTTAGACCTGCTTCAGTGTTTTTATATTTACTGTGGTGTTTTTAGACCTGCTTCAGTGTTTTTAGATTTACTGTGGTGTTTTTGGACCTGCTTCAGTGTTTTTATATTTACTGTGGTGTTTTTAGACCTGCTTCAGTGTTTTTGGACTTGCTGTGGTGTTTTTAGACCTGCTTCAGTGTTTTTGGATTTGCTGTGGTGTTTTTGGACCTGCTTCAGTGTTTTTAGATTTGCTGTGGTGTTTTAGGACCTGCTTCAATGTTTTTAGATTTGCTGTGGTGTTTTTGGACCTGCTTCAGTGTTTTTGGATTTACTGTGGTGTGTTTGGAACTGCTTCAGTGTTTTTAGATTTACTGTGGTGTTTTTAGACCTGCTTCAGTGTTTTTAGATTTACTGTGGTGTGCTTGGACCTGCTTCAGTGTTTTTTAGATTTCCTGTGGTGTTTTTGGACCTGCTTCAGTGTTTTTAGATTTACTGTGGTGTTTTTAGACCTGCTTCAGTGTTTTTGGATTTACTGTGGTGTGTTTGGAACTGCTTCAGTGTTTTTAGATTTACTGTGGTGTTTTTAGACCTGCTTCAGTGTTTTTAGATTTACTGTGGTGTGCTTGGACCTGCTTCAGTGTTTTTAGATTTCCTGTGGTGTTTTTGGACCTGCTTCAGTGTCTTTAGATTTACTGTGGTGTTTTTAGACCTGCTTCAGTGTTTTTAGATTTGCTGTGGTGTTTTTGGATCTGCTTCAGTGTTTTTGGATTCACTGTGGCGTTTTTGGACCTGCTCCAGTGGATTTGCTGTGGTGTTTTTAGACCTGCTTCAGTGTTTTTGGATTTGCTGTGGTGTTTTTGGACCTGCTTCAGTGTTTTTGGATTCACTGTGGCGTTTTTGGACCTGCTCCAGTTTTTTTTTTTTGGATTTGTTGTGGTGTTTTTAGACCTGCTTCAGTGTTTTTGGATTTGCTGTGGTGTTTTTAGACCTGCTTCAGTGTTTTTAGATTTACTGTGGCGTTTTTAGACCTGCTTCAGTGTTTTTAGATTTACTGTGGCGTTTTTAGACCTGCTTCGGTGATTTTGGATTTGCTGTGGTGTTTTTAGACCTGCTTCAGTGTTTTTGGATTTGCTGTAGTGTTTTTGGACCTGCTTCAGTGTTTTTGGATTTGCTGTAGTGTTTTTGGACCTGCTCCAGTGTTTTTGGATTTGTGGTTATGATTTTGGATTTGTTGTTATGTTTCTAAATTTGCTGTTGTATTTTGAAGTATGTTCCATTGTTTTGCCCTTTGGGGCCTTTGTAGTCTATGTGCCCGAGAAGCACTTCCTGTTCCTGGCGTGCAGACGTGGTTCAGATGTGGAGTGGACACATGAGATTGTGAGGATCAATGCCACTAAACACATGAGCAGCGAGTCTCCGCTGGACAGTACTAAATACCAGCTCCTCCCAGACGGAACGCTCTACATCAGACAGCTGATGAAGTTGGATCGTGGACGGTACTACTGCAATGGCCGGCTGGTGGCAGAGGTCATCATACTCACAGGTACAGAACCATCAGTGGAAGGTTTACATTAGCTGTACAGCCAGAGCATAGATAGGATGATTACCCAATATCCCATTTCAAAAAGAAAAAAAAAAATATTAGACATTTACACAAAACAGAAGATGTTTAGAGTGCCCTCTAGTGGAATCATTGTTTAGACAGAATTGGAGAGAAGGGTTCAATCAAACAGTACTAATGCAGCTTGTGCTCATGGAAAATTAGAGCTCAGTGTAGATGTTACCATGACAACCAGCATCACGTGAGTCCAGTCAGAGTGAGATGAGCAGCAGTGACCAGCACTTTGTAAAGGGACTTCACGCAGGTCCAGGAGTCTTAGGAATCACCTTCATCTCAGACCTGACTAAGTTCCAGCTTCATAAAACCTAACAAAAGCAATTGCTACTAACCTATTTTAAACCATCCGTAAACAGCTTCCTCTGTTAATCCAGGTTTAGATACTCAAGCTGTGATTAATGCTCTTGTGCGTGCAAATCAAAGCATAACTAAACTGCAGGTACACTATGATATTCTCAAAGATCAGATCTCAGTCTATAATAATGCTATGAAAATATCTAGACAGTCATATCTCTCTAGTGTAATCAATAGACACAAACATAATACCAAAATCCTTTTTTTCCACTATAGACCGACTAATTAACCCTAACTTCTCTGCTAGTGCGTTTCATGATGATTTATCTTCTAATATCTGTGAAGAGTTTGCAATTCATTTTCAAAATAAAACAGACCTGATACGACAGGGTGTAGCTCAGCCAGCTGAAACAAGCTCCTATAATGTTCCTGATAGGTCACCTACATCAGTAATGACATCTTTCTCTGTTATCAACTATCAGGAGCTCACAACTATTTTAAACAAACTAAGTTCCTCCACATGTGATCTTGACCTTGTTCCTACTTCATTCCTTAACATGGTTTTTGATTATGTTCACAATGATGTTTTAACTATTGTATATTGTGCTCTGTCAACAAGTGTTTTTCCAGACAGATAAATGGTCAAATCAGTCACTCTGCTCAACAGAAATATCATATCAAATATCATGCACAATATATTTGTTTATTCTCAACAGCATTCTGACTCGTGATTAGGAAAAAGTTTCAAGCCTGGCAGACCAGCCAGGAAATCTGGCTGCAGCACGGAATGTCTAACTAGTATTTCACCATGAATTAAATATATATATGTATTAAAAACAGTATTTGTTTCATACAGTTTGTATACAGCTTTCTGTTTAATTTTCTTTGATTTTCATGGCTTATTTCAGTGTACTTTGTGGAGCATCTTAAAAAAAAAAAGCACTGGGTCTATTTTCTAAATACTGTGCCACTTCAGTGCGGCATCTGGGATGCTCTGCCGCATCACACGCACAGCCTGTGTGAAAGCATTGACCACTTAACATGGGCGCTGAAATGAAAAACTAGATTTTACATGATACTCACGCCACATAGACGCAGTATGTGTGAATCAGGCCTTAGCCATGCAGTATAAGTTACCATGGTGATGTAGCCCTAAAATACAGCTTTAGACTGAACTAAGCTTACAGTAAGCTGGCTGCCATGGTTGGTCTAGTCTAGTGGGTAACACTTCTGCCTTCCATGCTGGAGACTGGGGTTCAATCCCCTGCCTGGGTAAACACCCTGCACTATACCAATAAGAGTCCCTGGGCAGACTCCTAACACTACCTTCACCTACTTCTGTAAACTGATCAAATTGTAAGTTGCTCTGGATAAGAATATCTGCCAAATGCTGGGAATGTAATGTAAAAGCAATCCTGCTTTGTGAAACAGACAACAGGGCTGAGAACTTTTGACTTTGACCACTTTTCCTGTTCACAGTCAGCCGGGGTCTCGTTTATTTCAGACTGATTTGAGAGACACAGTTTAGCTAAGTAATACTAATGTGGAAAAGCAATGACAGAAAGCTAATATTTCCATTAGCATTGCCCTTGGCTTTCAGTTATTGTTAGTTACATTAATATTGTTTGATTTAATGCACATTCCACTAGAGGGCGCTCTTGTAATTGATATACTGTTTTCTTTTTCTCTCTTCTCGTCTGCAGGTGACAGCTTCGTGGCTTCTGAGGGCAGTACTCTGTACCTGCCTTGTTCGTTCTCCGGGAAGCCCAAGCAGAGATGGGCCTATAAACACACAGCAGCCTCAAAGCGAGAGTACATCTCCACCAAGTTTAAGAACGGGACAGTGAAGCAGGAGAGAGAAGATCCAGACAGCAGGTTCTTTCACACGTACAACCACCTGCACATCGACAACCTGCAGCTGTCTGACTCCGGCATCTACCTGTGCAACGGCCACGAGGTCGCTTCTGTTATGGTCATCCACACAGGTATACGAACGTCTGCTGCCCTCTGCTGACGGTCATTCAGATTTACAACATTTAAAATTCAGCAAGTTTGCAGTTACATGGACAACCACTCAAAATTTGGACTATTCATATCCACCATATTTGTTATTTATATAATAATCCATACAAAATCTACACATTACATTCAATATTTCAGTGAAGAGTTTCAAGGATAAATAATATACTGTAATTATTTGTTTATTCAGTCGTGAGCAGAAGTTTGGCTGCCCCTGGAGAAATTCCATGTTGTTATTGATGTTCTAAGTCACACTCTGTACAGAGAACACGCTTCTGAACATTTTAATACACAATTACTGTGTATTTACCTTTTAGCTTATTGCATGCAGCTTACAACAATGTATAACATGGGGGTGGGATGGGGGCAGGACTGGCCTGTGAAAAAGTTTTTTATATATATAAAATGTGGTTGGTGTAGTGTAGTGGGTAACACCTCGGCCTAGACTGGGGTTCAGTCCCCCTCCTGGGTAAACACTCTACACTATACCAGTAAGCAGTAACAGGATTATTTTGTCAAGTTAGCTGCCTCAAGACTTAATTGTCACTTTTGAAATAGAACACATCATAACTTTATGCAGTAATTGTAACATTTTTCTCACATTTTTCTTTTTTTAGAGTTTCATTTTAATTATTGTACTTTTTGTTATTATTTGTAATTTTTTAAACCTATGAAGTTGCACAGAACTAGCGTATTTGATAAGCTTTACATCTTTATTTGCCACCCAATCAAAACAGTGATTCCAAACTTTTGAACTTTATATTAATTTTACAGAAATATTCTGATTAAAATAGCCATGTTTTTTTGTGTCCTGCTGATGTTTAGTGGTCACTGCATATTCTGCATACACTGCATATTCACTGCAGTTCTGTATGTGCAAATAAACTCTTAACTCTGTTCAAATCTACAGGGAGTGAAACATTCCAGACAACTACAGCAGGTAATGAAGTTGGTTCTATTTTTAGATGTGTACACATTAAGAAATGATCATTTTTAATAATCTGTCTGAGAATAGTGTTATGTTTTATCTTTCAGTTTCTACAGAAGTAGAAAATAACGGCCCCCAAATGTCTGAAAATGGTAGGTCTCTAAAAAGGGGAACTCTGATGATGACTGATGATTTCTGCATAATTAAATGGTTGAGATGTAAGCAGAGTCGTTCAGAGTGGTTTGGTGTGAAACGCTCTGTTCTAGAGAAACTGAAGAGTCAGAATTGTTCACAGTGGTGGTGATAGGAACCAGACGTCCACCTCTAAAAGCTCCCACAAAGTCCCTAAAGAAAACTTTCCAGTGTTTTACCATCATCAACATTCCATATAAACTCAGATGACTCGTGTAGGTTCACTGGTGGTTTTGATAGTAAATACATCACCACTACTGTGAAGACATCTGAACCATTTCACACCAAACCACTCTGTATTATTCTGTTTACATCCAAAACACTGAATTATGCAGAAATTTAGAAAAATTGTTGGAATTCCCCTTTAAGATTGGCCATTGTTAAATATTCATGACGTAGTTGCTCCTTTTAAATGTAAATAGGTGTTTATATTGTTGTTGTTATTGTGTTTGTGTATGTGTGTATGTATCAGCGACGCTGGTTCTTTTCCTGGCGTTCACTGTGCTGGCCGTGGTTGTGGTCACTCTGCTCTCCGTCATTCTCTGTCTGAAGTTTAGAAGCAGAAGAAAAGATCCAGGTAAAGTATTTATTCACACAATCATCAATGAATGATTTTATTAAAGCACAAATAATATTTAAGAAATTATTTAAAAGTCAAAGGCTCAAATTGTTTCACTATTAAAGAGCATCTCATCCTATAGCACAGCATTAGCATGTGAGCTTCAGTAATGATGGACATTATCACCACCTAGTGGACATGAATTGTCCTCGCAGCTGTTTTAATTGTATTTTACAGCGCCCAGGCAGGAGGACACTGAGCTGCAGCTGAAGAAGACTTCAGGTCGAGGTACAAAACCTAATTTTCGTCCTCTTTTACAGGATAATACACTTTTTTTTGTCTTTCATACTAAAACTCTTTCACATTGTTTTATACCATGATACCACGTCATAAGATATGGGCCTTTTACAAAGAACAGCAGATGGAGAAGAACCAAGCTGATGCATTTGAATGTCAGGTGTGCATGACTGAAACTATATAATGAAAGAAAGTGGAAGCTCATGAGTTTCAGGCTGACTGGAGACGTCCAGGTGTCGTTCCAGAGATGAGTTGATCATGGATGGACAGATGCAGTTGTGATTTGGTTGGTATGATACATATGTTTGTGTTTGTGTGTCCTGCAGTCCGAGCAGGTCCGAAAAGGAGCCCCGGTGATGAGGAGCATGTAAGTCTTTTAACCTCACCTGCCTACATACTCTGAGTCTGATCACTCTGACACTCTGTAGATTGAGTTACATTATGTGGCCAGGGGCTGCCAGCAGGTCTGAGCTTCTATTCCTCACTCCTATTACTGAAGAACAGCTCAGTCAGTTTGCCTTGTTTTCCATGAAGTCACTGAATAATAAGCTTTAGGATGTAACAAGCCAGGGGTTTTAAAGGGTTAAAGGACTCAGAGTAGCACCACTGATCAAACTGGCCCTCATATACTGATGAATTCTGTTGTATGAGCAGCTGAGAGCTGAACTGACATTAGCACACGCTTGATCATTAAGGAACGGGTCAAATCACCAAGAACCTTAGTACGTTAAGACCTTTTCACACCTATTACTTCTGCATGGTGGGGAAGCCCTAAATGGAAGAAGAAGTGTATTCCTGAGTCTAACTTCCACTTTATTAAAATCTTTCTGCCTGTATAACACAAAAAACAAGCCTCACTACAGTTTCAGCTGTCAAAAACCTAAAAAAAATTTAAATTGTCATTTGCTACACCAGCCTTGACCAGCAGGAGGCAACTGATACCCCCTACCCCCCCACCCTGGGGAAGTTACTGGCTATCAGTTAGCATGCTATACCAGCTTCAGTTCAGTTCAAGAGACAATCCAGAGGCAAATAGAGAACTGGCCATCTTACAGTTACAGGTGAATCAGAGTGTTCAGTGGTTCTTTTTTATAAATGCTGATTATAACAGCTCTAGAAGAAATAATGAGTTCATTAAGTGTGACAGTAGAAGATCATGTACTGGGGTGGGATGTAACTTTGTACAAGTACTGTGAATATGTATTCTAATACTGAAACGAAGTACCTGTATTCAGGCCAAAGCTACATTTTGTAAAGTCACACACTTAAAATTATTGTACCTTAAGGTTTCTTTAGTGAGGAAAATGGTTATATATAGAGCCATGAACACTCAAAGAACCCTTTCTATAATTAATGAAGAATGAGCTGTAGATGGTTCTACATATACACGTATAGAACCTTTTTGAAGATGGTTTTATGTAGTACCCAAAAGGGTTTTTCTGTTGTTACAAGCTTGACATAATAACAATTGAAGAACACGTTTTGGTGCTATATAGGACTGTTTTTAAAAAGGTTCTATGTAGAACCGTCTACAGCACATTCTCAATCAATCTGAAGAAGACTTTTACCATGGAAAGCGTTCTTTGAGTGTTCATGGTTGTATATAGAACCATTTTTGTTACTAAAGAACCCTTGAAGAACCATCATAAAGAGTGTAGTATTCAGAATACAGTTACCTTTTACTATCAAGAGAATATGTTTAGATTACTTACCTACCAAATAAAAATACTTTGAAAGAAACACCATCAATGTTCAATAACTATTAACAGTTTCAACAGGGCTTTAGAGACATATGGATAATTAAAGTGACAAAATTCTGATTTCATCAGTAACTGTAATGCATCACACTGTATAGTTATAGGGAACAGTAATCATTACTAAAACAGGTTACTGTGTACAGCGTAACCCTCAACACTGATTATCAGTGAGTCAAAGTGTTTATATGTGTGTGTGCCTTGTTCTCCTTTCAGTCTGTGCCTCTGACAAACCACTGTGAGATCCAGTATGCGTCACTGGGACGGCAGAACTGGAGAGCCAGAGGATGGACACAGGACACTGGACAGCAGGTCATCTACTCCACACTGCTGCACGGTCCAGCCAGCCCTCTACCCAACTCATCAATTACTCAGAGACTCTAGATCCAACCAGCTCTCTACCAAACACATCAATTACTCAGAGACTCTAGATCCAACCAGCTCTCTACCAAACACATCAATTACTCAGAGACTCTAGATCCAACCAGCCCTCTATGAAACACGTCAATTACTCAGAGACTCTAGATCCACCAGCTCTCTACCAAACACATCAATTACTCAGAGACTCTAGATCCAACCAGCTCTCTACCAAACACATCAATTACTCAGAGACTCTAGATCCAACCAGCTCTCTACCCAACTCATCAATTACTCAGAGACTCTAGATCCAACCAGCTCTCTACCAAACACATCAATTACTCAGAGACTCTAGATCCAACCAGCTCTCTACCAAACACATCAATTACTCAGAGACTCTAGATCCAACCAGCCCTCTATGAAACACGTCAATTACTCAGAGACTCTAGATCCAACCAGCTCTCTACCAAACACATCAATTACTCAGAGACTCTAGATCCAACCAGCTCTCTACCAAACACATCAATTACTCAGAGACTCTAGATCCAATCAGCTCTCTACCAAACACATCAATTACTCAGAGACTCTAGATCCAACCAGCCCTCTACCAAACACATCAATTACTCAGAGACTCTAGATCCAACCAGCTCTCTACCAAACACATCAATTACTCAGAGACTCTAGATCCAATCAGCCCCCTATGAAACACGTCAATTACTCAGAGACTCTAGATCCAACCAGCTCTCTACCAAACACATCAATTACTCAGAGAGAATTAATTACTTCAATTTATTAAACCTCATTTAATCTAATGCATGTTTCTTTTGTCAAAAAAATCTGATAGCACATGTCACAATTAGCCCTGCAAGAGTAGCTATGCTAAAGTACATGCTAATAACATTCATATTTGAAGATGGAGCACTCACAAAGCATTAATACTACACTCTTTTTGCCATGTTTTTTTAATGACCAAGTTTTAGGGTCCATTCATGTGTCTGTCGTAAATAATATAAGACTGAACCCAACATTTTTCTTTGTGGTATTAAAAAAAGAAAGCTCTATCTAAATCTCATTCATTTAGAGGGAACATAAGAAGATGCTGCCTCTGCCTTCGAGGCTTAACAATTCACCATCAATATCTCTACACAATTCTCCTGTCCACAGTGCAGATAACAGTACTGTGACCACAGCCCCAAGTTCCCCTACACAGCAGACAGTCATGCATTAATACAGCTGAAATCACTGTCATTTCACACTTTATTCAGTCAAAGCTTGTAGCAGACAGGAAACAGAGCTAACAGGTCAACAGGGTAATACAGTCATAATGATTTTATTTAGCTTTATAGCAGCTCTGCTGCCGCTTTGCAGTCATTTCTAAACTCTTTCTTTTTTTCCTCAAAAATACATTTTTCAAATACTCAGCATGTTTTTTTCTGACCTTTAGACTTTATATTTAAACTATTTTATTTTGATCAGCTTGCATAGAAAACATAGTTCACACTAAAAAGAAGCTTAAGAGGTATCACTCTGACATTTTGTGAAATATAATTAAACATTTGGAAATAAAAACAATGTAATAAATTGCAATATGATACTAATAAAGATTTCTGTAATCTTGTTGAAGAAGAACCAGCTTCTGTATGAGCTTATATAATACTGATTAATAAAGACACATCGCTGCTCATGGAACAAAACCTTGCATCTCCAAAAAAGTAACTTCACAGGAGAAGGAAGAAACATTTCTAACTTTCAGTGTAAGTTGATGGTAACACATTTCAAATCTATTTGTCTGTTCATTGTGAAATTTTGACACAGTATAAACGGCAGCAAGCATTTTCAAATTCTACAAGAAAATAAAATAAGCAGTAATGAAGATACAAAGTTTTTCTCCGACAGAGATGATGTACTCTGACAGACAGACGAGTGTTTAGCTTAAACTCCAGGATTGGTTGGGATCTTTTTGGCAACCACATCGTAGGTCACGTTGTGTTCAGCAGGTGCTGGCTGCCTCTCCTGGATCTTTGCGGTGTGTCTGAGACTTGCGTAATGCAGATCAGCCGCCTACAGAAACAGAGGAAACAGAGTCTGTCAGACTCCACCATAGAAACACGTGTTGCTTTATAGCAGGGTGGGAGCTGAGGGCAGGAGTCCAGCACAGTTTGGTGATCTCCCTGCTCTACCACACCAACTAAACCTGTTAATTACCTGATGAGTTGAATCAGGTGTGCTTGAGCAGGAAAGTCGCCAAAGTGTGCAGGAATCTGGCTCTCCAGGACTGGAGTTTCCCTGATTTAGAGGCAACTAACTTTACTTTGTAAAGACAACAGTAGGTCATCACACTACTTTCTACGGAGCCCTGCTGGTGACATCCTGTATAAATTAAAATAATGCGTGGCCATGACTTACTAAGGCGTAGGAACAAGATAATTAAGTTGTGGCCATGACTTGGTAAGGCATGGAGATGAGATTCTAATGCATGACCATGACCTAATAAGGCATGGCAAAGAGATAAGTAAGTCTTGACCTTGATCTTGTTACCTTGTTTCACCAGCAGGGCTCCAAAATTCAGACAAATTGGAGGCATGACATTTCAGCTGGAAGTTGTTTAGAACAATCAATAATCAATATTGGTAGTTGAAAGAAGTGACCAATGTAAATTAAGCCAATTAAATCAATAAGGTAAAGCTTGAGTTGAGGTTTAATGAGCTTTAATTCACAACTGACACTCCATGTAAGTTCCTTTTCAAGCAGTTTAAGACCTGAATTTGTGTCTTGTGTTAATATGGGACTGATGGTAGTTGGTCACAGGTTAGTATTAGTGGTAATGCTCTATTTTGACAGCCCACTGTAAGTGCTTCATAGATACTTATTTCTAACCTAGATTTTACCAACTATCTACTAAATGAATCTTCATTTTCCATAACACTTGACCTAAAACCAACATGAACCTCCACCCAAAACCTAAACCTAACCCTCAGCCTGATCCTAAGCCCAACCCCCCACCTGGTCCTAAGCCTAACCCTTAGCTCAATCTTAAAGCTAACCCCCAAACTGGTCTGAAACTTAACCCTTAACCTGGTCCTAAGCCTAACCCTTAACCTAATCCTAAACCTAACCTTCAGCCTGGTTCTACACCTAACCCTCAGCCTGGTCATACACCTAACCTTTAGACTGATCCTAAGCCCAACCCTGCTCTTAAGCCTAGCCCTCAGGTAAACCTAAACTTAGCCCTGAAACTGGTACTAAACTTAACCCTCAGCCTGGTCCTAAGCCTAACCCTCAGCCTAATTCTAAACCTCACCCTCAAACTGGTCCTACACCTTAATCTCAGCCTGGTCCCAAGCCTAACCTTCAAACTGGTCCTAAACCGTATCCTCAGGCTGGTCCTAAACCTAACCCTGGTGCTAATCCTAACCTAAACACTTTTTAGAATCAACTGACTTTCAATAGGTAGTTTAAAATTAAATTAAATTAAATTAAATTAAAAATCTGTAGATAATCAATTGGGGGTCCAAATACAGTGAGACAGAACTAGCTAATGACCCTTAGCCTGTGCTGCCTTTCAGTTATTATTAGCACCATTTCTATAAAGTGCCCCATTAAGACAGTGACATTACATGGTTAAAATAATATTGTAAGTGCATTGACATCACACTACCTTCAGGTTGGAGTTCTGTTTCACACAGTTCGTACAGAAGGACGATGGACGGCCTAAAGGAAAGAGGAATTACATTTTACATTCAATTAACTTCAAATCATCAGTTGAATTCAGTTCAGCACTTCTGTCAACATATCACCACTGTGGGACAGAGCAAAAGAGAAATGATGTAGAATAAAATCTTGTTACATTTTAATTTACGTTGAAAGTTAAGGATGTTTTTTACTTCTCGTTTAAAGAGTCGTACCTTTACTGGGCGGGTTTTGTTCCGACAGTAATGATATGCAAACACTATAACAAAAATGCTCTCTCAATAGTAATTTATGGGGAAGGATGTATTAAAATAGTAAAAAGTAAATTTGAAGTGGAAAAGTGTCCTGTTAGTGCACATGGCATGGGTGATGTGAACATCTGTGAAGGCACCATTAAAGCTAAATGATATATGCAGGTTCTGGAGCAACGTATGCTGCCATCCAGACGACGTCTTTTTCAGGGAAGACCTTGATTATTTCAGCAAGACAATGTCAAACCACATTCTGCATGTATTACAACAGCATTGCTCTGTATTAAAAGAGTTCAGGTGCTAAACTGGCCTGCCTGCAGTCCAGACCTGTCACCACTGAAAACATTTGAAGCATTATGACATGAAAAATATGGCAAAGGAGACCCTGAACTGATGAGCAGCTGAAATCCTGTATCAAACAAGAATGGGAAACATTTCACTTTCAGAACTACAGCAGTGTTGTTAAAAGAAGAGGTGATGAAACATAGTGGAAAACATGCCCCCGTCTCAACTTTTTTGGGACAGGGGCCAATGTTGTTGGCATCAAATTCAAAATGGGAATATATTTTTCAAAAAACAAAAAAATTCTCAGTTTCAACATTTGATTTGTTGTCTCTGTACCATTTTCAATTAAATATAGGGTTTAAATGATTTGCACATCATAGTGTTTTTATTTACATTTTGCACAGCGTCCCATGCAAAATTATGTTTTTGTTCATCCTCATTTAATTTAATTTCATAATATCTCAATATGTTTCTTTTTTTAAAGGTATTTATTTTATTTAAATGTTGTAATTAAAAAAACAAAAAAAAACAGGCACACACTGTTAGTATGGCTAGCTTTAAGATGAGGGTTAGGATTAGGGTAAAGATTAGGGTTTAGGAGCAGCCTTCTTTGTCAGTATTCATGGCACACTTCTCCTGAAATCCTGACACAGTACGTTACATTCACACATATCTGCATTATTATACTGTCAAAAACGTTTCAACTGTGGATTTACACTATAGAAGTATCAACAGCTGTACCACATCTGCTAAAATTAAATGGAAATAGTTGATGGAGTTTGAAGTATTTCCATCACATTTTACAAGGCAGTAGAAACAAGCAGTTGCTAATATTGCACAAATATCATAGAGCATTTCTTAGCATTGTTTGCAGGTTTGAAACTTCAGTGTAAATGCTTTGAGGCTTTTTCTCTCTCCTGCACCAAACCAAGAAAACCACATTGGGCAGAGATGGCACCAAGATTTCTTTACTGGTGTGCACCGGGGGGCTGAAACACTCGTTATTTTTCAACCTCAAAGCAGGAAAAGCTTATTTTACAACACTGCCATAAAATTGAGGCAGCAATTTTTCAAAATAATGTATTCAAAAAGTCTACGAAAAACAGTACTGTGCTCACCACAGCTCTTTTTTTCTGAATAAAACAACTAAATCTATTTATCTATGTTGGGTTTAATTAGTTTTGACAGCTACAGTCATATCCAAAAGTTTGAGCACCCCCCACCCCACTGCTTTGTAAAAGTTAACCCATCCTGTACAGAGAACACACTTAAATTCGACTTTTTTGTCTGCAAATTTTAGTCCCAGTGAGTTTGCTGAGAACATATTGGAAAAATAAAACACAAAATATGAAATATGATATGATATGTTTTATTTCTTCCCCCAATATGTTAAATTCAGTACAAAACCAGTAACTGTGTGTTAAACGGCAGAAGTGTGTTCCCTGTAGAGGATGTGTTAACTTATTCACAAAAACATGGAATTTGACCAGGGGTGCACAAACCTTTGCACAAGACTGTATACAATTATTATCTCAGAGCTCTTTTAGAACTTAGCTACATACTTTTTTCTACAATCACCCCCCAACCCCCCCAAAATAGTCATTTCTAAAAATGGAGGTGCTGCCCCCCCGCCCAGTCCCCTCAGCCCCCCCGCCCAGTCCCCTCAGCCCCCCCCAGCCCCACCTTGATCTGCACCAGTGCCTTTGCAGTAGCTGAACCTAAATGCAAGCACAGGCTGTGGCTACAGATGAACAGAAGCTGCCCTTTAAGCTTCATGCCACAGCAGATCAACAACAGGCTTCCACTCTCAGGGGTCCAGCTGAACCTCAGACCTCGTTCTCTGAACCCTCACCGAGACCACATTCATCTGAACCCTCACCGAGTCTGTATAAAAGCCCGCTGACGCAAAGCAGGAGCGCCAGAGCGAGGATGCAGGCAGAGGTGATGAGCAGCTTCCAGCAGAGTCCGGTTCCTGTCTCGATTCTCTCTGCACCTGAAACACAAACCACACTGAGGAGTGACCACAGGGCAGGCCAAGGTCACACTATAGACTCGAGAGCTGCGTAAACTGTGGCTGGAAACTGCTGAAGAGTTTAACAACCACAGTTTTTCAGGGAAATCAGTAAACATGCACAACACAGGGTTTAACGAGGAAACTGGGGCCCCACAGTGTGAGTAACTTTCGCTATGAGTGCTAAGACGTTCCACCACAACAGTTACCAATAAACAGAAACTGCTGGTGGTCTTCAGACTGGGGTCTGCCTGTGTGAGTGACAGATATTCTTCCTAAGCTGTGTCTTTAAATGTGATTCTTTCTAACAGCTTCTTATAACTAACAGCCTCAGTTACATACAGTACTACATGAGGGATTTTCATAGATGCTATCATTAAAAAAGTTACAATCTCATAAAAAGAAATTCCACCAAAATTTCTACTTAATTCAACGTTTAAGATTTAAACAGAGCCATTCAGAGTGGTTTGGTGTGAAACGCTCTGTTCTAGAGAAACTTTCTTTTCTTTGGGGACTATTTTGCCTCACAACATCCTGCATGTATCCCTCCACCATGAATGGAACTACTAATACATTTTAGACCAAAATCTTCTCAAAACTATGGTAAAACAGTGTCTCAGACATCAGGCAGTGAATTCATAACTATTTTGTGTAGTAACTTTCTGTGAGGGAGCTTTTAGAGGTGGACGTCTGGTTCCTATCACCACCACTGTGAACAGTTCTGACTCTAGAACAGAGCGTTTCACACCAAACCACTCTGAATGACTCTGTTTACACCTTAACCATCTAATTATACAATTTTATCAAAAAAACTTTACATTATGTGGAGGTTATTCAAGTATTAAAAAGGTTCTTCTCTCTTGCACAACTCATTTTGTTTTTCTATAACACCTTCTTAAAAAAAGATGGTTCTTCAAGGGTTCTTTAGCAAAGAAAATGGTTCTATATATTGAACCATGAACACTCTTTGCATGACTTAAGTGTTTTTTGCTGGTGAATGGTTCTTCATATTGATGGAGAATGTGCTGTATATGTTCTCTATAGAACCTTTTTGAAAAGGGTTTGAAGGGTTTGAAAAGCACCCAAAAATTGTTCTTCTATTGTTGCAGTGTCAAGCTTGTAACAATAGAATGTTTTTTAGTGTTATACAGAACCCCATAGGGCACATTCTCCACCAATCTGAAGAACTATTTCACCATGAAACGAATGCTTAAGTCATACAAAGGGTTCTCTGAGTGTTTACGGTTCTATGTAGAATGATTGCGTTGCTCCAAAAGCCTTCTTGTTTCCATTCAGGGTTTTTGTTTGTGAGAGTGTATGAATCAGGGTCCTGGTACTGAGTAGTTGGAGCTGATTATTTATGAAGGGCTGTAGGTTTTGTGATCCAGTGATTCAGATGTGAAGGGTTCTAAGGGTAATTCCGCTGTATCTGCGCTGTGCAGAACATACACTTGTCACAGGATCACTGAGTCACTTCCCTATCAAACACCTGAGAGGAAAAATCCTTCACTCATCACCATTAATATAGACTGTTAATAATCTCTATTGCACTATTTGTACTACATATATACTATTTGTACTATTATATACAGTTGTATGAAAAGGTTCAGGTGCCCTGGTCAAAATTATGTTCCATGTTGATTTACTAAATTTAACATACTGAAAAAAAAGACTGAATTTAACATACTGAATAAAAGACTAATTCAACTTATTGAAAAAAAATCTGAATTTAAAATACTGAAAAAAGACTGAATTTAACTTACTGAAAAAATACTGAATTTTACATACTGACAAAATTATTGAATTTAACAAGTTAAAAAAATATTAAATTTAGCATACTGAAAAAAGACTGAATTTGACATACTGAAAAAATACTGAATTTCACATACTGACAAAAATACTGAATTTAACAAGCTAAAAAAATATTGAATTTAACATATTGAAAAAAAACTGAATTTAACTTACAGAATAAAATACTGAAAAAAATCTGAATTTAAAGTACTGAAAAAAGACTGAATTTAACTTACTGAAAAAAATACTGAATTCAACATACTGAAAAAAGACTGATTTTAACTTACTGAAAAAAATACTGAAAAAATCTGAATTTAACATACTGAAAAAATCTGAATTAACATACTGAAAAATACTGAATTTAACATACTGAAGAAAATACTGAATTTAACATACTGAAAAAATAAAACATAAAATATGGCCTGTGCACACTCATAACACATTTAGCATTTTACGCATAATTTTTCCCAATATGCTCAACTTTAAAAAATACGGATGAAATTGTGGTTTCCATTTTACAGAAAAATGCCATATTTAAGTGCGCTCTCTGTAGAGGATGTGACCAGGGGGTGTTGTAAATAAAAAGGTCTGAAATTATTGCAGGATATAACACATGTCTAAAAATATCTCTAGTTTAGAATCACTGTTTCAGTACGTGTTCAGCAGTATAACACAAACTTCTGAGCATCTTTGTGAATTATTTAATTAGTTAATAAACTAACCAAAGGATTTTTTTCACACCAGAATAGGTTTAGTAACAAAGTAACAAATGAAGAAAACCAAACTAAAGAAAGTGCTTAGTGAGATGTGACTTAAAATTTCTCATACTTGCTGAATGTATTGTGGGAAAACGTTTCACAACTTTTGCCAGAAATAGAAACTGGATCCTTTTAAGTTTTATACATAAAACATAAAAATGGACCCAAATGGAAACCAATGGGCCTTCTAGTTCTAGTTCATAATCTACCTGCTTGGTACCATCATAACAGCTGTGATGAACAATTTAATGGTGTTTTTCGCCATTTCATGTCACTCTAAAGCATTCAGTTTGGCAAATTTCCTTGCTAGGAAGCATAGTCTCCTATGAACTTCAGCATATTATGTGTTTCACACTTCCATCTACTTCAAAATCCATCCTAAATGATATTTTCCTGCTCTAACACTCAGGATTGTGGCCATCAAGTACTTATCAAGCCCTTCATGACCTCAGTCTAGCTGTGCACAGGGCCACATGTGATTCTGGTGATTCCAATTAAACATTAGCTTTAAATGACTGCACATCTCTTACCTGGAAAAGTCAGGTGGATGGCCTTTCCAAAAATCATATATTTTCTGCTGGATTGACCAGTGCAGTAATAGAGCCCAACATCGGACTGTTCAACAGCCATGATATGCAGACCCACAGAGTCGTTTGGACTCTCTGCGACTGGCAGAAAGTGGCTGCTGTCTTGATTATAATCCTCAAAAATATCTGTCTTTGCTTTTGTCCACCTGACCGATATGATCAGTTTCAGCTGGTTGTCGCTCTGCTGATACCAGGCCATGTGAGGGCTGCCGGGGACATCGCAGGGCAATGTGGCATTTTCTCCAGGGTGGACAGTCAGAGTCTCGGCAGATGAAGAGCCCCAGCATGTTCTGGAGAAGCCTGTGGAGGCACATCAGATGACCACTGTTCAGATATTTAAGAGCTCATTATGTTTTAAGGCTAGGTGTCTTTTCACGGTCAGCTTGCTCATTTCTCATTAGCTGCTTCTGGACAATTTAGGAAGGTTATTCCATACTAGCTGACCACATCATGGGTTTCCATAAAACAATAAGTAAACATCACTATTTAATTCATATGAGCAGGGGTGTAAATAGGCTGGAAGGCATTTGAACCTGGTTCTGGGAGTAAAAGTCAGGATGGATCAGTGTTCTGGCTTCAGTTTCCATAATCTCAGTAACTGTATTTACTGGAAGATCGTGTATAGTTGTTTTTAAACAGGTTTCACTTGGATGTGTAGTCTAATGTTATTAATATTTTGTTGAATTATGTGTTTTTTGTTGGAAATGTCAGTCAGTGAGCTCAGTTTAAAATGTCCATTATAAATCAGCATGTCAGATGATGCGACTCGAGTGGAAGGTAGTGACTGATACTGAGCTGACCAGACTGCTAATATCAGCCATTCTGTATGAGCTTAATAGATGTTGAAATGTAAATGTATCTAAGGTAAACGTAACTGGACACTGGATGTTTATGAGTTTGTTTTTTTTTTGAGTGATTTTTCTGTAAAGCTGCTTTGTGATGACTGTTGTGAAAAGCACTATATAAATGTATGTGGACTAGGGCTTGGCAATATGACTATCTATCTATCTATCTATCTATCTATCTATCTATCTCTCTCTCTCTCTCTCTCTCTCTCTCTCTATATATATATATATATATATATATATATATATATATATATATATATATATTTCTCATATAAAGCCCCCCAGCTTTGGAATAGTCTTCCTGTTAATGTTCGGGACTCAGACACAGCCTCAGTGTTTAAGTCTAGGCTAAAAACTTACTTGTATAGTCAAGCCTTTGTTAATTAGTTTTCTCTGTCAGTTCTATACCTGCCAGAGTCTCTTTGTGATCGGTCACCCATTACAGAACTGACTCTCTGCGTGTTTTCCTTTCTTTTCTTCGTGGAGTTGAACAGCTGCCCATCCTGTGTGTCTGATGCTGCTGCCTTTTCTGCCTCGATCGGGTGCCACTGCTCGCCAGCCCTC